GTCGTGATCTTAAGTGAGGTCGTCTGAGGGAGAAAAAAAGCTCGGGAGAACTCGCTGGATGGTGGTTGGACCACAGCCGATAAAGATGCGCTAATCCTTTTTCGGTACAGGTGCCCGCGCTCCCGCTGGTTGAACCGCAAGCACCTCTATGAATTCCTTTATAAACCTTCGTCCTAGGATCTCTCAAAATATCTATCAAGACGGCAAGCTTGTCATCCTCCTTTCATTTCATTACAAGGTCTTTTTCTTCGATATCATCGTTTTTGGCAGTCTTCATCCTCGCCTACTGTCTCATCACCAGGAAACTCTATCTGACATCATCGCTCACACTTGGTATAATATGCAAACAGCAGTATTTCGCAAATTTCTTCAATTCTCATGTCTATATCCCAAGTAGGCTATTTACAGTCTTTTATTTTAGCAGACTCGCGCCTCGAAGTCAAAAGCATACGCCGAGCACCGAATCCCTCTTAATCATCATTTCATCTTTTATTCCAAGCTTTGAATCATGACCTTGATCGCCCCGGTCTTGGGATCCGCTGAGGTCTCAAACGCCTTGATCGCATCCTCAAGCTTGAACTTGTGAGTAACCAATTTAGAAAGGTCAACCACGTTGTTCTCGACCAGTCGGATGGCTCGGGGCCAGGTGTTGCAGTATCGGTACTGTAGCTGAATGTCTACCTCCCGAACACTTGCGCGCATGAAGGGAATATTGATCTCGTTCTTTCCGACGCCAATGATGAAGACCTTGCCGCCGAACTTGACAGACCAGACCGCAGCTGCGATACTGCTCTCAACACCAGTGCACTCCATAGCGACAGTGGGCTCGGCACCACCAAAGCTCTTGACGATGGCCTTTGCGGAGTCCTCAGCAGATAGTCTCTCAACCTTGTGAGTAATAACGCGAGGGCAGAGCTCCTTGGCAAATGCCAGTCGGCTCTCTGAAATATCGGTGATGACGATGGGCGAAGCACCAGCGGCAGCGCAGCACTGGAGTGTGATCAATCCGATAGGTCCAGCACCGCAGATCAGAACAGGGTCTCCCAGGCGAACCTCGGCCCTTTGCATGCCGGCCAGAGCAACACTGAGAGGCTCTAGAAGAGCGCCGTTCTCATATGACATGTTTCCAATCTTGTGACACCAGACAGCGGGGTGGTTGATGTATCGGCGGAGCATGCCAGGGACGGGAGGGGTAGACAGGAACTGGACGGTCTCACAACCATTGTATCGGCCAGTAAGGCAGGGTTCGCAGGTACCGCAGGGAATGTTGGGTTCGACGGCGACCCTGTCGCCAACCTTGAGATGGCTGACAGACGGGTGCACGGCAATAACCTCGCCGGCAGACTCGTGGCCCAAGATATGGTCTCCCTCGACAATCATGGGACCGATGCAACCAGCATGCCAGAAGTGGACATCGGAGCTGTGCCCTCATCAGCAACTGTTCTTAGTGAGAGGGTCGAGGATAAAATCAACATACCCGCAGATACCGGTGCTTCGAATAGCAACACTGACCTCGCCCTGCTTCAAGTCAGAGCCGGACTTGATAGCTTCGGCGGAGGGCTCAGCAGGAGCAACCCAGAGGTCATGATTGGGGTTGGTATAAACACCAACGTTGGGCTTGAGAGTGGTCTTGACGTCCACAACTCCGTTACCTTCTACTGCTGAGGGGCTCATTATGGGCAATGCGTGTAGGTCGAGGGTCTGATGCTGGTGTTGCGACGCAAGTCAAGAGTCTATGAGTTGAAGGAAAGCGAAAGAAAACACGAAGAGAGGTGACGACCACGTCCAAACCGAGGCGCAATGGCTCTTTAAATCATAGCACTACCTTCTCCTTGCACGGAGAAAAATTTGGGGTCATGCGCGCTGCTATCGGTATATGTTTGGTTGCCTACTCGCATGGCAAATCTGATTCCCCACGTTGAAACAAGAAGACAGGGCCTTGAGATCCGGAACGCACCAACAGCTCGCCCACGTCGTTCGTTTGAGGGGTTTGTGGGGTTATTGCCTCGGTGGAGGCTGTATCACCCACTGCATAGTGTCTCCCGCACCAATCACAGAAACCGGCCCGGGAATCCCAAGGCGCCATCCCACTACAACGGGCTTCTAGTGCAGAGTGGCTGCTCTTTAAGATTCGCGGTTGAATTCGCTGTACAGCTTTTGCCGGTCCTTTGGCCAAGCTCCTTCTGGGCAGATATCCGGTGATGTACATTACTGTGCCGCCGGGCCATAAGACTGCAAATACCCATGCTTGTCTTTAAAGAGTCCCGGCATATTGACGCAGGGCTCTGCTTTGTTGTTGCTGTAATACCGTTTTGTTTGAACGCTGCCGACAACTTTCCAGTTCCGGCGTCTCCACACCCAGAAAAGAAAACAGTGTCTGCTTGACGTCGATAGTTGAGTGACATTCTTCCGGCGGAGTCAAGGAGGCGTTGGTATCTTCAAGGCGGCTCTTAACTGGCACGGCTAATTATACCGTTGGAGCTCCAAGCGGGTCCAAATTCAGCAGTAGTCTCCAAATCCCTATCTCTATCTTCTCGACTTAACGTTACCTTTTGGGTAAGCCCTTGCGAAAGCGAGACAGAAGTTATTGCGAACAATGTCCGGAAGCTTCCAGATCGCGACAACCGAACCAATCGCGGTAGGTGGAATGGCTTCGCAACGCTTCATCTTCGGATCCATGCGATCTGGCGCATGTCGTCCAAGGTTAAAGTCTCGGCGGAGTGTACGTCTGCTAGGGTCCCCTACAGGTATGTGCGGATCCTTCTTCTTCCACTCAAGTCATAAGAACAATTCAAATCTCTTTCAGTCAGCTGCCAAACCTACCAGGCAAGGTCGTTCCTGGACATTTATGTCACTTGACGTCCAGGCATTGACGCGCTCAAATAAAGCAAAAAGAAAGAACAGAATTGTGCTGGTATCATGCTGCCCAATGCGTCTCGACTCCTGCACCTGCATCGTCAATCTCGTATAACAAGCAGCAGAAGCGATAGCTCGAGGTACTGACAAGTGCACTCTACTTAGCGGCGCGCTCAAGAGCTTCTTGAGTAGAGGCTACCTATTCCGGACCCAGCATTCAGCAACATCGAACGAGAACGGACCCGACCTGATGTCTTTTGTTTCGCACGGGTAGTTATGAACCAGCCACATACATTAGTGGCAGATATCTCAAAAAGATATGGATCGCATTATAAACAACTCACTTCCACTAGCTCGGAATACAATCTTTACGTGAGCAAAACTGTTACCAAACGCTGGGTACAATGCGCTTGTGGTAACATGCAGCACATGGCTATGGATTGATCACCGATCTTTTCGCTCATGAATATAACAGTTGCGACCAACCTATAACCTGCGACTATTCTTAAAACATGGTTACATTTCCATGCCAATGGTTGAAAGAACAACAAATATGAAGAGGGAGGTAAAGAGGACATACGTGGGTATCGTCAAATTGTCCGATCAAACTAATATACAGATACGAATGGGCTATAGTCTTTTAGCCAGTTTATCCTGATGAAGCAGCCTGGCCCTTTTGCTGCTTGAGCTTTTCCTCGAACTTTTCAAATTCCTGCAGGGCAATTTCCTCCTCTTGATCCATCACTTGCTTAACGCCCTTGACTTCTTCAATCTGTAACAATGTTAGTTTAGAAATGCGTCAGGGAAACATAATCGCCAAAACTTACATAATGCATCAGCATACCCTCAATTCCATTTTTGAGTGTAACTGTACTCGAGTCGCAAGTACGGCAAGCGCCTCGCAGTCGCAAATGCACGTAGCCCTCGTCGTCAAACCCGCGAAAATCAATATCTCCACCATCTTCCTGGATGGCTGGACGAATCCGTGTCTCGAGAAGTTCCTTGATCATACCGACAACTTCACTATCGTTCTCATTGTAGGCAAGACTGTCCTCCTCAACAGGAGCACCAGACTCTCCCTCACGGCGCTCGGAAATAGTAACAATTTGCTCGCCCGCAGTGATGGTTTCTGTAATGAGTGCAAATATCTCGGGGCGAATATGTGCCCAGTTGGCGTCGGCAGCTTTTGTGACGGTTATGAAGTCGGCACCATAAAAGACCGAAGTGACTCCGTCGATATTCATGAGCTTAGCGGCTAGAGGAGAGGGATGCGGGGGAGAGATCGTTGCTCGAGGGTTGAGGTATTCGATGAAGGGCGTAGAGAATTCTTCGGGAACAACTCGATGGTTTGGTAGAAACTTGAGGGCATCTGGGTTCGGGGTATTCTCCGTCTGGATGAAGATGGTTCGGACGCCGCTACCGATGCCAGCGAGGCTTGGCGTTGCTGTCTTGACGATGCGCTGTCGTTGCGCAAGTGGTCGCAATCCAGAAGATATGGAAGGAATCCGAGATCGATTAGTGACCATTGAACGAGTCCATCGTGGAACTGCTCGGGATGATGTTTCCGTGACAGGCCGAGTGAGAGCGGCCAATGTCCGTGACATGGTTCTGGAGGATGCCATGATGGAAGGATTGAGGAGAGTGAGGTTCAAAGGAATGGATAATATCGTTACTATAAGACCAGAGATTTCAGTAAGGTTCGAGAGATGTTAAAAAAACAAAAAAAAAACGTCCTATGTATGGTTAGTTTAAGAGAGAAAATCCGTTTCGGACTTGACGGTTATGATATCGCAACTTTTCGCCGCTCTCGGTAACCTATTATCTAGCCCGTGATTGGTCTGAGCATTAGTAATGTGTGAGCTTCTTATGATGCAAGGGCAAGTTCAAAGTCTCCATGTGAAAGCACGGACCAGGTCCTGCTTCTTTTTTCTATGGCGTCCTGAGCCGAAGCGCGCAATGACGCGGGGCGGTCTTGGACCCCTTGAACTTTATGTTTGTATTGATGGATCTTTTTTTCGTTTACTTTTTTTTTCTTCTACTGCTTCCATCATTATTCAACAACTACATCAGGAAATAAACACTTGGCTATTATTTCACTCACTATTTGGCTTTTTTACTACCTAATTACTTGCTCTATTGCCACAATGTCAGAACAACAACAAGAAACACCAGATGCTCCCATTCTTCAATCAGAAGAAGCTCCTGCGCCAACTAACCAAGCTCGGAATGAAGATGTTGACAAGCCAACGACAACAACATCAATCCCCTCGCTATGCAGTATCTGCAACACGAACCCGCCAAAGTATAAATGTCCGCGATGTCGTCTTCCGTAGTAAGTTTACCTTAATAACAAGATGAAACATAGATTAACAAGAGTGAAGCTGCTCTGTCGCATGCAACAAGATCCATCGCGAGAATCACCCTCCTGATCCTGAAGTAGCACCCCAACCCGAACCTCCACGACCAGAATCGCAAGCCCAACAAGTCTCAGATCCTCGGCCCTTCGATCCTTCGAACCCCTTTCAAGCTCTCGAAACATCTGAAAAGCTTCGTCATCTCTTCCGAAAGTATCCCGATCTGCCTGATCAGCTCCTCAAAATTGATGCTGCTACACTCCCGCCTCCCGAGACCAAGCCCGCTATTCCCGCTTCCCTCTTAAAGGGCCTCCCACCCAAGCAGGAGGCTTGGAACCACGATATTGGCATACAGAACGGCAAAGAGGCTTTGCGCAAGGCGCGGCGTGCAGGTGGCGAGCAGGGTGATGCTATCCGCGAATATTCAGAGCTCATCCTCCACCTTATAAATACGGAAAGCGCAAACGCAGACGTGGACAACATTTTAAGACAGCAATTTGCACAGGAAGACACAAAACTCATCGAGCGCTTGATGCAACAGGAAAAACGCTGAGTTCACTAGTTTGCTTCAAATCATTCACAGATTCACAGGATATGATTGTTTGTTTCGGCGCAAAAGAACAGGTTGATTGATATTAAATAAACAAGCGAAATACTACAGTAATGGGTAGGCTATTATTTCTCATTCACTATCAACTGTCCACTGTGCTGTACATTCTGAGTCCATTGTTTGCTAATGCATGAATCGCTTAAAGAATCCAGGCTTTGGCGACTTTGAAGAAATAAACGGCTGCGATGCTGTCTCAACGACATGAGGGCCGTCCTTCTCGTCCTTCGCTTTTTGCTGGCTTACACTGGTCTTTCGATGCTTGAGACCTCCCCACTTGGAGTCTCGTTGAACCTTTGCAGATTGATCACTCTGTGACCAGTCCACACGATGTATTTCAGCTGTGTGCTGGGGGTTTGGGACATTGACGAAGCTGCCTCTTCGCGATCCAGAGGTTGCTGCACTGGTCTCCGACCCTCGACGGTTGGGCGAAACATTGCCGCCGAATTCTTGCTTGAATGGAGTTGCTGGACCAGAATCGCGAAATGACGACGATGTATCCGAAAAGCCCGATGAGCTAGCAGAGCCTCGTCTCATACTGGGAACATTGTTTCCCTGAAAGCCTCCCACGCCCGTAGAATCCCGTCGGAATGGTGATTGGGGTTGGGAGTCATTTTTTCCTGACATGTTGCCCGTGCTCATTCTTCTTGGCAGCTCGGGTCTGTTACCGTACGAACTGAGCCGAACATTTTGTCTCTTTTGCTGAGAGGCTCTCTCGTTCATCTCGACGGTACCTGTCAACTTCGACTGGTTATACCCACTTGACGGTCTACCACTGCAGATACTCTGTGCTCGCTTGTATTGTTTGTGGTAATCGTGCAACGAAATGGTAGCGTTGCTCATTGACCGAGGCCCAGGGGCGGGTCTCATGCCTTTGGGTGAAGTCTTTTGCGACAAGGTCTCTACAGTGGTGGTGCGGGCGAACTGTAGTGCTGCAACTTGAGGAACATGCTTGTAGGGGGCAGGCTTCTGAGCATCTCCTGCCTGTTGGCCTTGTGCCTCATCAGTATAGTTCGAGCCCTTGAAACGGAATGCATCAAATATGCTACCCCGTCGTGGAGGCTTTCCAGGTGATGGCAGGGCAAGCTTATCGGTGCCTTTTTTAAGAGACGCCGATGACACTGTAGTTGTCGTTGATGAACTGAGGTGTGTTTCTGGGATAGTCCTTGGTGATGGTGCGCCTATGCTCACAGCAGACAGCGGCGGCCTGGCAGAATTCTCGATATGAATTGAAGGACTGAGTTGGTTGTAAGACTCGACGGAGAGGCCGCCCAATTTGGCACTCAACTCACTGGGGTCCAGTGGTTTAATCTGCAGCGCCGTTGGTCGATGTCTTGCTTTTCCGGAGCCATTTGTAGTATTTGACAAGCTGTGAAGGGGATCTTCTACTGAGGCGCCAGTTGTGTACAACATAGTTGTGGCCATGATGGGTGAGCTGGGCGACGAGCTTGGAGTTGAAGTTGGATATGATCCTAGCGGGTTGGAGGCTACTACGATTGCAAAACAACACCGATCACAGAGTGTTGTTCTGAGTAGCTGAAGAGGAAAATTGAGCGTAGCGTTGTTGCTTTATGCTGAGAGAATGATACAGGATGAATTGACAAATCTTCTCAAATGTCTACACGTGGGCGGTCGGCAAAATAAATACATCCAGCTAGAAACGTATGCTAGGGTAATACAGCATCGTCAATCATTCATTCCTCCCTGCTAAAGCCTGGCAAACAAGGCCCGACCCACCGAGAGAAGGTTTGAGGTTGTCGGCGATGGCGGGCATTGATATCGTGGCGTAACCAACTTCGACCCGGAGGCGAGTCCCTGGACCGGTCCGGGCAAAGCCATGTGCACTCTGCGTTCCTGACGCCGAAAAAGAGTGCCTCCCGCTGTCCGTCCAGTATTCGACAAAACCTTATTCGTCAGAGATGGCTGTTTTAGGACATAGCTCGCAAGAGCAAAGCTGATTGTTAGATATCCACTTAGGAAGTTCTGGAGCTGCATGTATTTGCCTATTCATTGTATTCACATGTATAGATGCAGAATCTCGACTAAGACACTTGAGCTTATCTTGTCTCATGCACCCCTGCCAGAGCCAACAAGTCTACTCAATAAGCTCATTGCACAAATCGGCACGCATGTATATCAAGCTCTTTCGTGCATTAGCACAGAAAGACAATGTGGGCCGTATAGTTCACAACCTCTTGTAGTTTAGCTGCTGATGGGGTATTGTGTTGATGTAAAGTTGCCGATGGAATTCCACCCCGAGGGGCCAGACCTTGTGAGACTGGCTCTGCCAAACGCAGAAGAGCTTTAACTTGCTCGGCACAGAAGATTGCTATCCTTGCTTTCTTCTCTCTGCCGAGCACTTAGCTGGAAGGTAGCTAATCAATCAGATATATAAGGGGGTTGGCTGAGATAAAGCAACAGTTGCTTTTATTATATGTTATGGTTAGGAATACGACGGGTGCTTTGGTGATTCCCGGAGATTCGGACACATTTTGTTATAGAACTTTGCAGTTGCATACTCGACTTTGAAGCTTGGTTGAACCATGTCCTGAATAGCATCATTTTTGCACTAACCACTAACGTACATTATTGACTTGAAATAGAGTTGTGACAACTAACCAAGAGGCGTTATAGTTCGCGGGAGACATCCATCTGTGCATGGCTATGACAGGACACAGAGGGCGGTTCGTGCTTTTATCAAGATAAGAGTTCCCGCTTTTGGGCATGGGAATGTGCCAAGACAATTGTCGGCAACATTTCAAAGTGACGCCTCGGAGATAGTTGACCATGGACCCGAATAACAGCTGATGATCGCTGAAGGACGCTCTGGAATGAGTTTGTTTAATGCTGAATGACTGCAACATCTTTCCGTTCCTCTGGAATACCAGACTCGCGTTGAACATGAAACGTAAAACGGGCAAGATCATTCATACCTTGGCGTTTATCGTCTAGTGTTTTGGTCTCATAAGCAAATCGAATTTCATAACAACATTATCAAATGTGACTTAAGACCAAATGTGATCCCCAGTTATCTGTCAGTTCCAAGCGACTCGTGGTCAAGAACATGAACCGGCGCCGGCCGATAGAAAGTGTTCTCGTTAGCCGCTGGCCATCGAAGTTTACAGGATGGGTCGTTCTTCATGCATGAATCGCGTGCACTGGTTCAGTATACAATGTAAAGTCTTGTGGAGTATATAAGCCAACTGATGGGTTTCTGTAGCCATATGGCAAGCAGCCTGGAGTACGGAAATGGGAAGATGTCAATGGAGCGTGGCAGGTGGGTTACAATAAAATACAGACTCTAAAGCAGGTTGACAAAGAGCTTCGGAGTCCGTATTTTATTGTAACCCACCTGCGTGGATACGGTTGAGCGAGCCATGCAATAGTTGGAAGCTAACTTGCGAGAGCCGGACCGATTTACTTCATGTCTCAATCCGTCAACAAAGAACGGAACGTAGCCGCAATGTTCTCAACATTGGGACTAGCAGGTAACAGAAGGGTTGAACTCTCAGCTTTTAAGAGTATGAATAAATAAACAACCAAGTGGGTGGTATGAATAGTATAAACTGACTCATTAATTTCTGATACCCTGTGGTGGAAACAATAACATGCGTAGTACAACAGGAGTCTAGATGCCAAAAGAACATTTGACCGGCATGTTTGAAATTGAGGCACGGCAGTAGAGAGATCTCATGATAGGACGCAAGTTTCACATCGTTACCAACATGTTGGAGTCCTGAGCCCCTGGTCTCGAGGGGGTCCAAGGTCGGGGTAGCCTTTGAACTTTCCGATGGGGGTCTTCTCAAAGTCTAATAGCTCTGATCAGGGCGATTTCGTCACGAAAGATAGGGCTCTTAAAGGTAGCCTTTGGACAAAAAGGCGACGACGCTTGAGGAATACTTTTTGCTGAAGTTGAGGGGCGTGGCTTATTGCGGACTCTCTTCGTCACCAGGGTCTCTAAAGCCTAAATTAACTAATTAATAAACCCCGGATCCTATCTAAAGAGTGCCTCAGACTAAGCCCCCGGTACCGAGCTGTTCAGCTGTATCCGATAGTTCACTGGTGATAGATAGTTCATTGGTGGGGGGATCCGAGGCTGAAGTAGCACGGCCTCGTGAGAATTTCGAGTCAAGACGATTCGACGATGGATGACGCTACCATCTTATTTCACGCAGGAAAGCTTCCTGCTTTGTTGTACACTCTAATACGTACAAGGATTTCGATTCCATCATTACGAAGGACATTATGGAGAGATAAGAAGTGGAAAGATATTGGATGTTGAAGTTGACCGGTAGTGTCAGGTGCAAGCTGAAGGCTCCGGCATTCAATGTTTGGGCCTTGCATTGGTTGATTTATGGTCAGGTGCAGATAAGTGTGGGCAAGGTAGGAGCGAGTGAGGTATGGGCAAGCTGTTGCTGCCATGTAGAGGCCATGTGGGCAGGTATGCACGCCAGGTTGGCCTTCCATTAATGTCAATCAGTAGCCCGGCTTGCAAGCAATGGGAGTTTGTGATTGTCCAGAAGGAGCATGGGCAAGTCCCTGCCATATGCAGTGAGTGACCGATGTGAGCGCGCCAAAGGAGCACATAAGATTGGGCCCTTGAAGTGATTCACAATGAAACGCGTCAACATCAACAACACCGGTGCCTACTACCTGCATCCCAAGGTACTGAGGCGCTATCAACAGCAACAACAATGTAATTCAGCCCCTGAGACCAAGTCTTTTCTCCTTGGGTGTGATAGTCAAGCGAGCAGGTAATCCGCCAACCTACCTGTCCTGTCGTCTTGGCAGGTTTGGTCAGTGTCGTTTTGACAAAGACACCAAGTCCAAGATACTAGGTGTCTAGGCTGTTTCGTGCAGGACCCTTTTGTTTGGGTTGTTTTGTTTTGTTTCATGATGATGTGATATGCTTGCTTTTAATATTAATGTTACTATCCGTACATATTACCGGATCTTCAACGACCAATTTAACCCAGACGCCGAGAGATGATTGACGCTTTGAACCCAGTTTCCTGAACTGGAAGTAGTCCACCCAACTAAGGCTCCCGTACCTTAGACCATCCGCTCCTAAAACGTTGCCTTTCCCGATCCACGGGCTCGGTTCCAGCCAGCTTTCTCTCCCCTCTTTGTGCCAGATTCGACATTTCGCGCAGCTGGCGGGAGTTTGTTGATACACACATATTCTGTGCTTCATTCCTTTGGGCGCCCTCGCTTCTTGGGAACCCCCTCCATTCGGGTCTAAACGCATCCACCAACGCATCCACTCTTCAACCAAGCCGCTGGGTCCAATACAGCGCGTCTCCTGAACTGAGATCTGACGCCTCTGGCTTGCCCTGCCCCTCTACGAAACAGCATCCCAACGGCTATCTGTTGCGACACAGAAAATTGCGCCAGTGGTCCATACATTACGCTACAGCGCAGGTACGGGTAGATTCCCGCCGGATGTTCCCTCGTGTCAACGCCTTTGGTTGTGTTGAATCACGCCAGTATGAGCATGGTTGGCTGGACTAACATGTTGTGTTTCCAATAGGTTTCGACTACCTAGGTACTTTGAGATCGGTGTCTCAGTCACGTCGCTCGGTCTTCACCTTGGGCATTGCCTAAGAATAGTATATGAGCATTTGCGCATCAATTATTATCTTTCGTTCTGGCTTTGGAACTTCAATTGACTACTGATTGAAGGCAATTTCCAATTTGTCTGTCAGTCCAGCCGACCTACAGCTCTTGTTCCCGTGGTATCTGCGCCTAGACGTCAACCTCGCTAGTCAAGGTACAGTGCCACAACCACCAATTGGACATCGATCCAATCCCTTCCGTTGGTCCCTCACCTCAGGTACGGTAACGTACCTGCGGTACAGTGCAAAAGTCTTGTCGGTCAGTAAACTCGTCTCCCTCCCTCGTTTGCTGGCATTCTACGGATACTCTGCTGCCCTTTGTGTCTTGTCTCTCATCACCCAAACCACAAGCGATTATACCCCTTCTTGAGTTCCATCCATCCTTTCCATTTACCACGGTTCTGGCCCCTGCCTATCTCACTGTAGCTCCTCAAGCGAACTCCACGGGTTCTTCCCTCCCCGCAAACGCCACGAGATTTGCTCCATCCATACCTGCGTCGTTCGCATCTAATCTACCTTATCCATCTATGCTTCTCTTACATTCAGCGTAGTCGCTGAAGTTGCGATCATGCAATCTAACCATGCTGGTTCGCAAAATGCTCACCCAAATCCAGGCCTTGCCGCTCCTGGCCCATACTCGACAGCCAGCTCGGCTTCTTTGAACTCCAATCTCGAGAGCGACTCCGATCCCTCAGCGCCTACCAGCAACCATCGAGACTCGGTCGGCTCAATCATCGACGATCCTTTCTTCCAGACCTACGATCCAGCAATCCAAGCCGCTACCGCATCCGAGGACGACGACCAATCTGATGGAAGCTCAGTCTACCAATCTCTAGACGACCAAGACCACGAACATCTTTTTCACGACACAAAAGGGAATAACTTCGGTAACCCTGACAAACCCGCCAAACGCAGAGGTCGCGGGGAAGCAAGAAAACCAGACCCAGATCCAAACAGCGATGATAACGAAGCAAATCAGCACTGGCCGCCTCCTCGTCGAGAGTCTTTGACCGCTGCACCCTCGTCATACTGGGTATGTAACAGACATCATTTTATCACATACCGCCCCGCTCTGCTCTAGCTTGCGCGGGGCAGTGTTCCTCTGCGTCGGAACAGAATATGGGTATTAGAGGCAGTTATGCGACAGACGGCTGACCACAGCTTTATGTTTTACAGTCACAAACACCCCCAGCCATGGAGAGCTTTAATATTGCCGTTATCGGTTCCACAGGCGTTGGCAAATCGTCTTTTGTTCAGCGGGTCCTAGGCCTTTCTCGACCACCCATCTCCAATGCTTCTAGTGTTCGCATGCTTGTTGATAACAACTCCCATGCTGTAACTTTACTCGAGCTGGACCTGGAGTACTTCGAGCTGAACCCTACGCAACCTATCCAATGGCCCAAACAAATCAATGGGCACATTGTCCCTCGAGTGGACGCCGCACTTATCTTGTATGATGTCACAAATCATGAGTCTGTGCGTGAGCTTCCTCAAACACTAGGTATGATATTTATATGCTATGCTAGGGAAACTATGTTGACTGAGTGATTGCAGCTGCACTCACAAACTCCGGCCTACCTGCCAGCTTAGTGGCCTGCAAATGCGAGACGCCCGAAGCCGAGTGGCAGGTTAACGCTGAGGCGATAGCAAGCCATACGTACTTCAAGTCTTGCGTTTCTACCTACAAGATCTCGTCTACCGATGATATTGAGGTTGCAAAGACATGTCTACATACTATTCTTAGGGCTGCCATGGCACATCGAAGAGGTATGCACATGAATTGGGTTCTTGGAAGTCACGCTTTACTGACTGCGATTTAGAAGAGAATGGCGAAACAGTATCGCGCAGACGAGCGCAGTCCGCTGCTAACCTAGAAGCCCCCGATGTCGGCACGGGGCGTCCCATCAGTCAACATAGCAAGCACAGTCGAGCAAGTTCCGACTTTTCTTTACTCAAGGGATTTGCTATCCCTACGATCAGCGAAGGCTATCGAACGCAGACTTCTCGTAGTCCTAGACGGGGTCAATCTGCTAGCCCCAATCCCGAGGCAGGAGAAGTCGGCACAACGCAAACACTCAACAATATGCTCAGAACTCCCGGTATTCGATTAGACAGGCCCAGCACCGACTCATTCCTGGATGTAGATGAGTCTGATCCAGAGCCATATCGTTATTCCGACGACATTCCGATACTTCAAAGAAACGACGACAATAGCCTGGATAAGCAAGCAAAGGCACTGGGCGTGACATTCGACGAGCTAGTTGACCGCCTTCTCGCCCCCCGCTTGACTCGGATAGATAACAACTTCTCCGATGTGTTTTTGTGTCTTTATCGCAAGTTTGCGGCTCCTGGTGAGCTCTTCACTGCTATTTTGACCAGGCTGGACCAGGTGAGGGAAGATAAGACAGCACACTATCTTTCCAAGACAGCAACACAACTGCGCATTATCGAAGTAGTAGCCAAATGGGTGTCGCTTTATCCTGGCGACTTTGCCCGTCCACAAACAAGACGAAACTTGGAGGAATTTATCAGACATTTGAGTACCGAGCCTATCTTCTCTATCGCTGCGCAGCACATGCGGCGTCATCTCCAATTTAACGTGGTGGAGGACGATGACACTGGCTGGGCGAATTCGGATGAGGCGAGCGATAGGCTTGCGGGCGAGATCCTGTCCAAAGACATGAACGAGCTGTCATCTGGTGTGAGTGTGTTGACAGTGGAATCGGATACTGATGGGCGACCATCTGGGGGCTCGGAGGTTTCACTTGCAGACCGAAGTAGCAGCGTTTCAAGTCAAGTGCATTTCCATACGTTCGAAGACTATGAGAGAGCGGCGGCTAGCTTGGAGCCTACGGACAACTTGCCCATGAACAAGTTCCGCTACCATATCTTCATGGATATACCAGATGATGATGTTGCTGATGAGTTGACCAGAATCGACTGGATCATGTTTTCGTCTATCCGCATCCGAGACTTTGTTCGGCATGTCAGTCTATCGGCATCACAAAAAGAAAGATGCAAGAGTTTGCGGAACGTCAACCGGATGATCAACCACTTCAACCATATTGCAAAATGGGTTGCCAACATGATTCTATTACGAGACAAGGCCAAACACCGAGCGCTGATACTCGAGAAATTCATGCACATATCGCTTAAACTTCGCCAGCTTAACAACTACAATGGTCTGGCGGCTGTTCTAGCTGGTGTAAACGGAACAGCTATTCATCGATTGAACCAAACAAGGATGCTGGTACCAGCCGATATACAAAAGAGATTCGCACGGTTGGGTATACTGATGGGGACGCAAAAGAGTCACTTTGCGTACCGTTTGGCATGGGAGAATTCATCCCTTCCAAGAATTCCATTCATCCCTCTTCACCGAAGAGACTTGGTGTCGGCCGAGGAGGGAAGCAAAACATTCGTTGGCACAGACGGAAATCGCATTAACTGGAAAAAGTTTGAGGTGCTCGGAGAGGTTCTGCTTCCGATGATGAAAAGTCAGGGCGCATCGTACCCAAATCTGGCCAAGCATGAGAATGCAAGAGAACTGATTTTGGGTTGCCGAATGCCGACGGACGAAGAGGTAAGAAGGCCAAGCCTTATTGATCAAAGACCACGGCTAACAAATCGAACAGGACATCTACCAGCGCAGTGTACAGGTTGAAAGTGGCTCAGCTGGTCTTGCTGAGCCACCGAAGAAGAAATTCCCATGGTTCGCGAAGTAGTCTATTAATTAATTGCAAGGAGTTTGGGGAGCAAGCATGAGTGTTTATTATATCAAGGATGCAAATACTATAGGGGCGCACTTTATAGACATTTAGTGGCTTCATAATTGTACAGACGAGGGCGTGCCAGTCTAGATATCTTGGAATATTCATCTCAACTTTAGTTAATAGGTAGGCATAGTTATTCAGGTCTTGGGAACTATCTTGGCACTGTATTTTCACAATCTATAACTATATACCACTTCAATCGCTTTTTCCTGTTGGTTTCATCTGCTTCACGTGTTTACCTGGGCGGCCGGCAGTATGCTGGGGGCACCTTCCTTGGTGGAAGGTGTTGACAAAATGCAAGGCCAACTTACAACAGCTTACCCCCAAATAAAAAAAATATAAAATATAAAAATATAAAAAAACAATCCACCTAATGATTCGGATAGAAACACCCAAAAACCAAAGCGGATATGTCCTGCGCGCTGCGACTGCCAACTATACGTGTTGTCACAAAGCAGGCAAATATTGAACTTACAGCAACAGCATCGTTGAATATCGACCCCTCAGACGGTACACGAAACATCAAAAACGCCAAAGATCTCCTATCAGCAGTCACAAATTCCCAGCTATGGATTTCTCGCGCTGGGGCTTGTTCTATCGAGGTATCCTTTGCCATTGACAGCCGTCCTATTTTGGAGCGCGATCATCTTGAGGGTGTCGCTGAAACGATCGGTAATTCTGAAGTATTTCAACAACCTCTCCTCAGTCTTCAACCACTAATTTGAGGTTTATCCAGATTTGGGATCGCCTAGGTGTCCATCTTGAGTACAACAGATCACTGGCCGCATTAATGCCTGGCCCTTTGTTCTTCTCAATTCAACATCCAGATCTCTCATCAGCTCTCGTCACTCCAGCATCGGCCTGGACGACTCCATTTCGAAGTTTGCTGATAACAATTAATGTTTGCCGACTCGACGAGCGACAGGAGCCACTCAGGAAAGCCCTTCGAGCACGCAAACGACAGAAAAGGGCGAGGAAAGCAGAGGAAAGAGCCACGTCACCGTCAGGGGGCTTGTTGGAGAGTCTGGAATCAACTGACCAAGATGCTATCGAGACCTTTATATCCAGTCTGAATTTCCCATCAAACTGCGACCAGAAGAAGCTTACGCAAACAAATAGCAAAATGAAGCGTGCTGCTTGCATAGAAGTGCTGGAAGATCTGCACTCGTCACCCTTACTAGATATCCTCCTTGAGCAATTGACCTTGGCTACCGAGAAAACATACAAAGGTTGCCAGGTTTGGGGTTGCGGATCCGACTACTGTCTTACGAAACTGGCACCTGGTGTTTTCCACGTACCATTTCTCAAGGTATATATCTTAGGTTCATACACTTTCTAGTCTCTAACAGCAGTAACAGAGTGTATCAGAGCGCGCTCAGCTGCTTCCAGTCATTGCCATGTCCCTTGCACGCATGCAGCATGCTGAATCTCCCGCAATTAGACAAAAGGTAGCTGCCTTACCGCCAAGTGACGAGACTATTTTCAGCTCGCACAACGAATCGGAAGACCCTGCGAGCGGCATAGAACGGAGAGCTTGGGAAGTTCTTCTTGCGCATATTCAAATCCCACCGCTTGCCAAGAAAAGAAGAGGCAAGAGATCAATACCATCTACTATGATCTCCGCAACAAGTTCAGAAACACCCGTCACAAACGAACAGCCAGTCACAGCAACAGAGAACAGCTTATCAGAGACGCGTGCCAACGCCAAGCAGGAGAGTCAGGAGAACACGGTAATGAGTGTAAGCTGGAATACCATAGCCGGCTCATCAACGTATGCAAAGTACGAACATTCAGAGGGGAACCCATGCGACTTTGAGACGCTGGACCAGTGGCTCAGCTGCGATAATGGGACACAACGGTGATTAACTGAGATTTGACGGCGCAAACATATCACTGAAGGGTAATGTTTATGTGGGGGAAAGGACGAGATTTGGTAACCGGGTATAAGGATTTGTATTATGTTGTCTCATGGTAGAACAAGATGACTGTATAATGATGGGGGGTATTGTCCCATAGAATGAGAAATCGCGAGGTGAAAGTATTGCGGTGGAGCTTGTGGAATTGACTTGAGTTGGTTGATACAGCGTAAATGACTGCTATAAAGGCGGTGCAGAAGTGAAGTTGCCTTATCTGGCGTTGGCGGGCTTTTTGGTCTTTGCTGCTTTCTTCTTGTCCTTCTTGTCCTGGGCTGCCTTGCGCTGCTCGGGCTTCATAGTAGCATAGTGAATGTACCAGAGAAGGACAATTTGTAGGATGACGGCGACAAGGACAACCAGAAGTATAGTGAAGAGTATAGGTTGATCGTTCAGGACAGCAACGGCTTCATCTGTGGCGCCGATACTGGAAAACCAATCGAATTGAGCCATGGTAGTGATGTGAAATGCGAGGTCCGAGATGAGATGAGGTGAATATCAGGTTGATATAACGAGTTTCGAATTATGTACAGAATAAATAGAACTGTCGTGCGCCGGTCACGTACAGATTAAAAGAATGATAAGTATTTTGGTGAAAGGAGAACAATAAGAAACAATAGTAGAGCGATCAATGAAGGGGAAAGAGTTGAAATGGAAGACAGAGATGGAAGACGAGAAGCAGGCCCATCCATGGTAAATTGGCCCACAATGGGTGGTGACGACGGTGGTAGACAAAACAGACAAACCCCTAACGTTGACTTGGCTTCCAGGGGTGTCACTGAGACGTTTCACCTTGTAACAAAAGTCGACTGATGTGAAGGTGGATCATGATTGGCTACGATTGTGTATTGGGAAGAGAAGAGTGCAAGAGCCGATTGCTACAGAGAGAAATTATGGTTTTATTCAATATTCTGTAAGTGACTTTGAATTTTTAAAAGGTGACTTGGTTTGCCTAATATGGACTGCTGTTATTCAGGGCATAACTACCTGGTTAGTTTCAGACTGACATTAAGCTTGAAGTTGATTTAGACAAATCAAAAGCACGTGATCTGAGGATTTACACCTTTTGTTAAACCCCTGCTTGATTGGCTCCCCAACCATATCTGGACGCTAGCCGCATGGGGAACTTGTCAATTGAGATCCATTTCCTGGGTCCCAAAAAAATCTCGAGCTCGTGTGAGAGAGATATAGAGAGAGCGAGAGAGTGACGACAATAGACTCAACCCCCCCTTCTCCTCCCTCGTCGCTGGATCCCTTCTCGATTCGACTCTCATCCGACTCTCCTGCCGACCATGAGCGTCGCACGTCCGGCGCGCAACCTCCTCGGCAGGTGCATCGCCTCATCCCGAACGGCTTCAACCTCCATCACCGTCCCCATCATCCCATGCAGCCAATTTCACACCTCGGCACCCCGGTCGAAGCGCAAGTCCCGATTTCGAAATGTTACCGCCCAGGAGCTAGGATTGATTAAGGAGTCGGGTGAACACACCAGCAAGATGGAGCAGTTCAAGCAGGACAAGTTCGGCGAGCTAAGCAAGAAGGATTTGGAGACCTTGAGGGCCTCTTACACCGCAGAGCAACTCGAGGCTATCGAATTGGGTGAAAAAGCCATCAGCCCCGAAGATCTGATTATTCAGGGCCGTATGCGTGACGATCCCTACAAGCCCGACTACATCGAGGACTACTCAACGCTCGACCCCCGCTACGATATTAAGCCTGAAATCGAGGGTACCCCAAGAGAAGTGCAATGGCCCGACAAGAACCAATGGATCGACAACTACGGAGAGAGAATGATGAAGATTACCGATAAGAAGACGAGTGACCAGCTTACACGTGCCATGGTCCGGGCATTGCGGCGAGTCAAGGAAAGCCAAGGCGAGGACTTGATAGACCTTACCGAGGAGGAGCTCAAAGATATTGAGAAGGACCCAGAGTTGATCAAGCGCTACGTCGCGAAAGAGGACGGCCCCGAACCCACTGCCAACGACAAGGGTCCTGAATTCATGACCCGTTCTCAAGCTGAGAAGCTTGACGAAGCTGTTGATGAGGCATGGAAGTCTGAGCTCGACAAGATTGTTGGTTTCGGCAGCCAGGGCGAGGTCGAGCCCACGAATCTCGAGCTCATCCAGGACGGCCCCGTGGGTGTCGACCGTACTTACACAGCTGAGGCACCTGACCTGGGCAAGGTCCCTGGTGTCAAGGGCCTGTACAAGCACGCCGTTGACCCCGAGGATCAAGGTCAGGACGATTCTGGTAAGTACCAGGAGATCAAGCGCCTGACAGGCATGACTCTCAAGGAGATCCGCTCGCTGCTCACAAAGGGTCTCGTCACTCGATGGGTCTCCAACCAGACTCGTCTCGGCAAGGTCCGCAGCACCTCTGTCGTTGCCATTGCTGGTAACGGCAACGGTCGCCTGGGTCTGGGTATGGCCAAGTCTACTGAGCCCGGTGTGGCTGAGGAGACAGCTCAGATGTTGGCTATCCGCAACATGAAGCCTGTTCGCCGGTACGAGAACCGCACCATCTATGGTAACGTAAAGTCCAAGATCTCAGGCACTGTCGTCGAGTTGATGGCTCGACCTCCCGGTATGTATTCGTATATCAACTTTCACCTCGCATATGCTAACCAACATTGCAGGCTTTGGACTTCGCTGCCCTCATCGTATCTTCGAAATGTGCCGTGCTGCCGGTATTCACGATATTGCTGCCCGCATGCCCCGATCCAAGAACCCCATGAACTCGGTCAAAGCAGCCTACCACGCACTTACCCACCAGCCTGACCCCGAGCAGATTGCTATCGGCCGAGGCAAGAAGCTGGTCGATGTGCGCAAGGTGTACTATGGAGGAGCTGTATACTAAATTAAACACACACCATAACGCACCATCTTGTACTACCAAAAGAAATCATGTATCTGTAACCTGTAATGGAGGGTTTTTCTTCGCCGACGTCCCCTGATGTGGTAAAAGAAGTATGAGATGATGTAACATCACGCGTGGAAATCATATCAAATGTTTTTTTTATTCTTGTGATAGTCATTTCTCGTGTCGTGTTGCGCTGGGTATCAATCCTGGTCTCTTGGCCCCCTTCCGAGTGTTCTCTTCGTTGTCGTTTATTCCTGTTTACTGTGCTGTCGAGCCATCACCCCAATCGATCTCCTGCTGCAAGACTATGCTATAAACACTAGCTTTGAGGAGGGTAAAGGCCAGGCTTGTTTTGCGCTCGAGCTCGCGAAGACCGTCGAGAATTTCTGAGCTGGGATTCGAGGCGAGATGTTCGAGAATAGTGGCCAGCTGCAACGCATGTTAGCGACCATTCAATCAGTCTAGCAAAGCAAGGTCGTGCAGATGTACCTTGTTCATGTTGTCTGTCAGTCGCTCATACTCGTCCAAAACCTCTTGTTCGAGCGGTGTGAGCTCGGGCGGGTCAAGAAGACCACCAGCTTGAGTTTGGTCCATGTTCAATTCAACTGACCAACTTTCGTGAAGAATACAAATCGGAGAGAAGTGTTGAAGGGTTTGAGGCTGGTCTATTACGGGTGTTTATTCTAGGTACGCGCGCTTGTTGGAGGGGACTTCTTAATCATTGATAAGATACGGGCGATAAAGTGGGCCAAGGCAATACATCGACTATAAACTACCTACAAGTCCAACTTCGCTTTCACTTTCATACACAGGAGATTGCAAGACATCACAATATTGAGACTAATACTGATAAAAAGTATCGATTCATAAATCCTTTTTGCTGCTAAACCTATCAAGCAAAACATATGCTCATAACAAAGACTCGTTGCAACCCATCAACACTAAAAACAGAGAATCCAGAACTCATCAAAACCGTTCCAGACCGAAACGCTCCATCATTCAAATATCGTTACCAAAGCAAACCCTTTTCCCATCTTCCTCGTGTCGCTCAAACAAACATGAATGGTATCGCAGTTAATAAATCAAAGTCGGACTTGTCGTTCGTTCGTCGTGCATTAGTTCCCAACAATCGCCACTTCGTTGCCTAGGACCGATCCCGTGTCGGTGCCAACGTTGCTTTCTGTCCACTCGCTCTCGGTATAGCTGTCTTCGCTGTAGCTGTCACCGTCCGTATACATCTCCGTGCTGTTTGTGATCACGGTGCCCCTGCTACTCCGTCTTAGCGTTTCGTTATCGCTGTCACCTCGTTCACTGCCCTCACCATTTATTTCTTGTTCGAGAACTGTTGTCTCCTCTTCAGGGACCTCGACGGTTTCTGAGGTCAAGCCTGGTTTGACATCTGCCTCATCAACTTCTTCAACAGTCTCGTTGACAGAATTCTCCTTGTCGTTGTCGGCCAAGTCGAGACCACCGCCCCAGCTTCGCTTGCGGTACACTTTACCACCACCACCTGCGGGAGTTCGTACACTTTGGCTGCGCTTAACACCTCCGCTTGCCACATTGTTGTTAATTTGGCTGAGCGAAACAATTCGTCGAGCTGCTCCTGTTGGGGAACTGGCTGCCAAGTTGCGCTTCGCACTCAACGCCATGCCCACCATGGACTTGCGACCGTCTTGCTGAGACTCCTCTTCGGCAGGCTTTCTGACTCGTTTGCGGCTCATAGCATCGCTACCGCTTCTTTTAGCCTTTGACATAAGAAGGACTCGAGAATGGTCCATCACACCCTCGAGAATGCGGCGCTCCAGGTTCTCGGCGCGAGACTCCATGTCGTAGAGCTCCTCCTTGCGCATACTGAGGGCAGTTTCGAGTGATGAGACATCACCAGTCAGGCGTGTCTTTTGGCGAATCAAATTCTCCTGCTCCGATCGGAGGCTCATAACACTCTGACGGAGTCTTAGCTCCTCATCTCGAAGGTTCAAGACTGCGGTCTCTACGTGGTCCTTCTCAGCGAGCTTACGCTCAACGGACGCCATGGTCTCTTGCAGGTGCCTGCTGTGATCCTCATGAGCCTTCTCAATGCGCCTCTT